AGGGACTTGAGGCTGAATATGTTGCTTTTAAACAAGGCTGTAGAGCCTCTAAACAGCAGGGATGAAAGCAGCCAAGCTAACAAGACTAGCAGTCAGGCTAAGGAGTTGGGCTCCTTGCCACCCAAATCCACAAAGAGGATTTCCCCGGCCCATTCCCTACGTCCAAGAATGAGTACAGGAGACAAGCCAGGCACCTCCAGTACCGGGTGCCCCCGTGCCACATCAGTGGCAGACCCAGAGTCGTGCACTGCACAAAAGACAGTACCGCCATCCTCGGAACCGAAAAAGGCAGGTACCAGGGAACTGGATAGGCCCTCGGCATCAGCGGCACTGACACCGGGTAAGATCTCAGCGAAAGTGAAGTCAAAATCTGTTAAGCCCTTGCCCCGCACACCGAGCCCAGAACTGTAACCCTCTCCACTGGCACCAATGCCCCCTCCATCGGCACTGAGCTCCATGGCACTGCATGGTGTTTCCTCTGGCCACCACTGTTCTACTGTGCGCTGCCATGATTACCATGAGCCACTGCTGAGTACAGCACCACAATTGAGAAGTCCATGTGGCTCTCCCCCAAGGCATTGCTCTCATTCTCCTTTGTCCATAAGGAGTTCTCTGCCTTGATCACCGGTGTTATCCAACTATAGTAGCCATGAGGATAATAGGTGGAGTGAATTTTCTTCCCAACACTCTTCTCCCACTAGAGCATGTGTCTTATGACAGACATTGCCTACAGCATGACCATCATCCTCCGTGGTACCTGGACTGGTCCTACCATTCCCACTACTCTCCTCGCTGGTCCCCATGTCATTATTGGGCACCCCCACGGCACCGGCCAAGAGCACAGTCAACAACAGCTCCTAGGCCAATACCTGTGTCTCATCCTTGTAGCTCTCCTCAGCCAACTGAGGACATAGAAATTGAGGATGGCCAAATTACTGAGGACACAGAGGCAGAACAACCTGATGTCTCCCTACTTGATAAGTCCTCTTCCTTGACTGAGAAGACTGTTATTCCTGATGACCCATTGCTTTCAATTTCCAGACCTATTTAAAAGAGTCGCCACCAGTCAGGAGGTTGAATTATCAGAAGTATAGGAGAAACAACACAAATGCCAAAAGAAATTCCAATCTGCCTCAAAATCAAGGACTGCGCTTCCTATAAATGAAGCAATCATGGAAGCGGCTGACAAGGTTTGGCAGACACCAGCCTCAGCCACCCCAACGAACAAGAGGGCTGATAGGAAATATTTTGTACCATCCAAAGGCATGGACTTTTTATTTCTTCACCCACAGCCAAATTCGCTAGTGGTGGATGTGACACAACACAGGGCCTAAACCCCTCAATACAAGTCCATTCAGCATGAGAAAGACCATAAGCATCTGTATGTATTTTGTAGGAAAATGTATTCCTCATCCATGCTTCAGCTTAGAATAGCCAACTATACTGTGTTACTCACTAGCCACGATTTTGACAACTACACAAAAGTAACTGAGCTCATGCAACACCTTCCGGATGAGAAAAGACTTATCCTGAAGTCAGTAGTTAAAGAGGGCTACATTATATCATGCACAGCCCTCCAAATGGTGCTGGATTCACCTTATATAGCTGCAAGAGCAACGGCAACTTCTATTGTCATGAGATGCATCATGGCTTCAAGCGGCGGGAGTTTCAAAGGACCCTCAGAACAAGGTGGAGGATTTTCCATTTGACAAAGAAAAACATTTTGCAGTCAAGATCAACGAAGTCCTCTATTCCATTAAGGATTCCCACACACCATTACATACATTAGGGAAGTATATGCCTCTTTATTGAAGGGAGAGTTATACACCCTACCACAGATAGCGTATGGATCTCCCATCTGTGATCTATTGCAAAGTAATGGCTGAGGGAATCTGCTATAATATTCTTGATGTCAGGGAGGTATGATGCAACGATTTTGACACTGTTCTAGATAAACCAGTTTCACAGGTGTAATGCTCCTACAGAGAAGGAACAAGAATGGGCGATACCCTGACAGTTGATGTAAAACATAGTGGTTGTATTGTTGGTGAGGATGTACACCGTAGAACCTCAGATGTGTTGAAGAAAATGTCTTCAGGCATTGTGGACAGCTCAGAGCTCCAACAGGTTGATATGTCACCGGGACTCCTGTGTTAGACCATCTACCTTGAGTGAAATGATGGTGTAAGAGCATGTCCCAACCAAGGTAGCTGCCTTAACCGCATTCCTCAGAGGCATTCTTCTTAAGGACATTTGCTGTGCGGCCATTTGGTCATCTCACATACCTTCATGAGATATTATGCAATTTCCACAAGGATGGCCGTGACGTCTACTGTTGCCAGTGCAGTTCTTTACACTGCTAACGAGCTAAGCCAAAGTTCATCTACCAACCTGGGAGTACCGCTGTGTAGTCACCAACAGTGGAGTGTCCATGGGGACGTTTCTTGTGCTGTAATGACTGTTCTTCGAGATGTGTGTCCCTGTGGGTACTTCATGACTCACCCGTCCTCCCTGCTTCTTCGGATTGATGTTCTCAGATAGGATGTACACGAAGAAACTGAGAGCAGATGGGCCATGTGCATGAACTGCAAAGGCACGAACAGTACATGCCCCCCTGCCACGTATTCACGGCCTGGCCAGACACTGCTAAAAAAGTCTCTGGTCTGTGGCACTGGGACAAACTTGACACCAACAGTGGAACACCCACAGAGACACACGTCTAGAAGAACTGTTGAAGATGAGTAGCTTCCTTTTACTGCACTCACTCCCAGACCCCATGGGGATGGAGCAGTCCTCTAAAGAGATTATTCTGCACCTTAAAATATTGGTGTGAGGCAAGGCTCCCCAAGGTAGGGGGCAATCTGACACCAACCATTTTTGGGGTGGGCACAGAACTGCACATCCAGCACATGTGGAGATTCACCTGGCACCTTGACAAGAAGGGAGATCACACAGCCCCACAAAGACAGGTAATTGCATTGTACAACAGAACTTTGGGGGAAGCATACATGCATACCTTCATCTGTGACTTGCTAATGATATGTGATTATTTTTAAGGCCAGCTATTTACAACAGTCGACGTGCTGCTTTCTGGGCATGGCCACCTGCTTTTAATTAACCATGCACACCTGTGCACAATAAAATCCTTCTCCTACTCAAAGCAGGGGACAGTAAAATAGTTTTATAGTTTTAGCACCAAGCCCTCTTTCTGAAATGAGGAAGGGAAGCCAGAGAGACCTGCCAGGAGCCACAAGTGCTACAGGCTGTTTCCCTAGAAGTGGGAAGAGAGGGAAATGTGGGCACTTCTGCATTATACATCTGTGCCGTTCCTTCACTGGCACAGAATTCTGCTTGCGACAGCCATGATCACGCTGTTGTGATATCCAGGTCCCATGAGCCTAGAAGCTCCCTCTAGGGGGTTTCATTTTGGAGAACACCGGCTGTGCCTCCAAAGCCATTCCAATCCGATCATTTCAGTTTGTTTGCACTCCTATTTCCCCCATCACATGCACACTTCCTGCTTGGAGTATGAGCACCGTTGTCAGATATATGCCTACAGTATGATACCATTTTATTTAGTATCCTTCATAATAGCTGTATTTCCATAACACATTGGACTGAGTTACTTGGAATAACACAGATCCCTGCTAGCAAAGGGAGGTGGCATTGAACAAGCAAAAATAACAG